CGATGCACTATAGAACAGCGCGGGCGTAGTATGGACACGGCAAGCGGGTTCCACTACATTACCCTGTTCCCGTACATTTGTGCGGCGCGGCTGGTACGAACGATATGTATAGTTTCGCTGCTTGCCGAAAGGAAAAAGAAAAAAACAAGTTGGCGCCGCGCCAAACGCGCTGGCACGTCCCTCATCCGCAGTGAACGAGACTGTAAGATTTTAGAAACTGTAACCAACGTCGTAGGCCTCGAAGAGCATCATTTAGAGTCTCAATCATGTGGTCCTTATCACTGGATACGAAAACCGAACGGGCACCGATTTTTCCGACAACGTCGACCACCTGAAATAATTCATCAAATGCTGTATAGCGCGTACATTGAACGGTAGAGTACCACAGTTCACAATGCTAATTATCCGCAACTTTTCAAAAAACCGACGCAGTCACCTGTTCAACAACAGTGCTTGCCGAAGGGAGAACAGATCTCCTTTGTCAGCTTGCCATCATAAGAACTCTTGTCCTTCACACTGCATAGAAGCGAATAAAGGTTGACTTGCAGGCGTAGAAGGTATATGTTCGCACACACGCTCCTTCAAAAAAGTATTTAGCAACGACTGAAGTCGGTGACAAAGTCGTCAAACTTAAGCATTGCGCCTTCTCTTTTTACATCAAAGACTACATCCCAGAAGCCTTGTCAAACGTGAAAAGCGATACGGTAAAATCAACGACCAATTCACGGGCTCATATCGTGTTTGCTGCGGATGGTTGGGTTGGTCAGGGGGGGGTGTGTTTTTCACCACATGTTGACAGTTAGCTAAAGCAACTGATGGAGAATAGATTTGGCAACGTGCTATACGCGGCAGCTCGGGCACGCCCCATCATCCGCAGCGAATCAGACTGTACCTTCGCCACAACGGATAACTTTCAGCTTTAAGCAACCCCTGCCCCTGTGTCATCTCCCCACCTTCAAGCCTGTTCGAAAACACGGTACCTATGAAGGAGTATTTATTACCCAGTCCTTGTCGTTACGCAGATGTATTCCCACGAACGGACGAGTAAGTTTGTCTTTGATGAATTGCGTCGCTTTGCCTGTGATACGTGACGACCACTTGAGATATCTGAACATGAATTTTAATGACTGATGTCCTATATCACTACGGAAAGTTTATGAACTATGAAACCTTTGCAATTCCCAAGTGCCTGCACGTGATGGAAATGGAGCTGGCGGTGAAGGGAATGCCAGCACGGGAAATTGGGATGGCGGGAATCTAGAAAACAGTGAGAACGATTAATGGGTACATTCCTCCCATTAATTTTCTCCCATTAATTAGGAGTTTCTTACCTTTCGTCACAGTAAACGAAATATTAACATACCTTTCAAGCCAAGCTGTTTTCGACCCACGTACGGTCAAATCGTAGCCACCGGGTAGCTGTCCATAATAGGCGTCATGAGCAAACGACACTCCAATCTTGTCCCAGTATGGACCAAAAGGATTTCCTTCTTTAGCGTGGCATCCGACGGGAGCATTTTCGTCATAAATCGACTTCCGAGGACTCCAGCACAGGGCTGAAACAATTTCAAGCTACTTATAGCGATTGCGAATGGTCTTCCAACATTTGCAAGGTAGAAAAAATACACCTGGTGGGATATTTGCCGTCGGGCACTAGCCTACACGTACGAGACCCTGGCTCGGCACAATCATCTAATTCTAGGCTTCGAGAGTAGCCGGTTTACACACAAGGCGATGAAATTGAAAACAGCTCGGTGAAGAGACCAAATTCCGCTTGGACCGACTATGTTTGCCATCGCTTCAGACTGATGTGCGAACCCCTAAGCATAGGTAACACGCATCGTAATGTCACTGTGGTTCTGAGGGTAAGTAGAGTGAGTACCCATTGCAAAGAATCATCCAATTTTCAACGGTCACTTCAGCGCGCCGTGCTCACAGCTGGCCGCACCAACCAGTAGGTTGGCAGCAGCTCTAACTGTGCACTCATATGAGAGGTATGAAACATCTTCATCTCCTTCACAGGAAAGTATTTCGATGAGTACCACATGGATCACCAAGCCTCTTCTTCGTACATTCCCGAAGGACTTCATTGCAAATATAGTGGTCGGGTGAGAGTTGGCTAAATATAATGCCCAGTACGTACTACTCTTCAAGAACCGAAAAACTCTTGCAACTTTTCAAAATCAAATAAAGTCCAATGATGCTCGACAAGAAAGTTCTGCCTTGTTTTGCGCGGGGAAAGAAAAAACACAAGAGATCACCGGCTGGATACGATACAGCAGTGGCCACCACTACCTGCACTAATCAATTTCCAGAAGTTGTCAGTTTCATGCACTTAAATCCACTCAGCAAGGCGCAATACCGGATTATAGGGCTGCATTGCATCGTTCGTATCACCTCTTTTCCACAAGATGTTTTAACGGGTGAGGTACTAGTTTTATGGCTTCAAATTGGAGGAGAACGAGTTGATGCGCGCCAAACCCAGCCACATACCCATACATCGCCACGTTAATCCGCAGCGAATAACATTGTACTTCAACAATCGCTCCACGATACATGTGGGAGGATGAATCATCAAAAGCGTGTTGGTCTCTGTGGGAAAAATTATGTCTTGCCAGCATATCAATAATTAATGTTTATTGAGATCCTAATGCGCTCGTGAACGTCCCTAGAAAATGTATTGAATTAATATATTCAACGCTGCATGACAGATACGACGAGGGGTGATCGCTTTTATTCATCGCTCGTGTTGCACGATATTACGTGGATTAACTCAAAAGAGCGATCCGGGAAGTGTGTGCGCAGCCAGATCGGAGTACAGTTTCCAATGCTCGAGTCGAAATCATTGATCACCCTGTTAAATGTAACCCTTCTGATCGTCTGCGCCGTGGAAGAATGACCCAGTTTCCATGATGAAGATGTCCATACGTTGGCTCTCATCGAGTTTCGAGTCGCAACTGGGGTGGCCATAGATTCATGGTTAGTGCTGAGACCGTAGGCTTATAATTGTTGATAAATTACGTCTAGGATAAGCTCGGATTTATATCTCTGATCGTCGTAATTGCGCTTGTGTATGTTGCCTATCCTTTTCCACGGCAAGGAAAGGAATGCAAACATGCATCGAGGGGAGCGAACGAAGCTTGGATATCGTGACAAATGTTCTGACAATGAGTCACGAAAAATTAATTGTCTGATGTACCTCAAGAAGTCGTTCGCCAACTGTAGAAATGGGGAAGCGGCTTGGATTCATAGAAAGTTCAATGGACTTGCCATTTTGGAATTCCGGCAGAAGTCCTAGTTGAACTCGCCCAAAAGATATTATTGATAGGTATTGGGATGGGTGAAAACAGTTTGCATGGAAGAGAAAACTCAAATAAAACATATATGTCGGTATAATGTGAGGAAACGCACGGGTGAAGCACCATTTTTCTACAGACCCGCCTGTAGCTACGTTAGCGCGCTTACACAACTGCCGGATCAAATCGACGTGTTTGGTTTACCAACACTGTCCGGCAATTCAGATCGCATAAATGTAAAAGTTGTGAAGCGACGCCAACCACAAATGGAGATAGGAATATTCTTCAGCCTAGAGGCAGGTGCAATCCTTGGGCATAGCAATATTGAAATGTGAGGTTTGAAAAACGTAAGACAAGTTCGGCTTATGAATTTCAAATAATTACATACTAACACCACAACAACCCACCAACCAGTTCTATTTTCTTTTGGCCATAACTTGGGCATTACTTCACGTTGGAACGCTACCATTCTGATTGCTTTCAGGTACTTCCTGATCTCAGTCACTTGAAAGATGCTTTCAAACGGTACCATGACCTGAAAGGAAACCGACTGTGAGAAGAAAAACTTCCCCGTTCAGAATTTCAAGCTACAAAGCGAACCGTATCCGGGTACGGGTACTCGATGAAGTTTGGAAGAACTAATGTCCTGTCGAGATATTTTGTAAACTGCATGACTCCGAGTAGTTGGTCGACCTGATTCCCAAATCGTCCTGAAGTACAGAGAAACTGTCAGTAAAACAATCCTATCTTTGATTTCGCTCAAACTATCAAAGAGGTTATTACACTCACCCATACACGGGCAAAAGACGACATATCCATTTGGATCTATTTGGAAATCGGTTCCCAATGTTGAAGCGACAAGCGACAAGATGAGCACGCTGGTCGAGCTCATCGCTAACGTGAGAGCCCTATGCAACGTGAGAGACCATAAATGACGACTGACTGATAAGGTTGCGGTCAATAGAAGGGCTACACCTTGACGCCGTAGTGCAGCACTGCAAAGAGGACTCAAAGTAATGTTTTTTTTTTTTTAAACTCGGCCCACAAACTGGGCACTAAACAATAATGTTACGGAAGACTGAAAACAACACAGAACCGAAGATCTCCGAAAGGAAACACACAAGGGAATGGTTTGAACTTCCCATGGAACTTTGAATGGAGACCTAGGTACATCGATAGAGCCTCGAATGCTGATTACGAATATGCAGATTAAAAGTGCTACGGGGACCTCCCAGACGAGATCTGGGTGGTCAAAGTTTGGTTCTGGCTCGTAAGCGCTGCTGATCGATGCCTTGGCAGTGCCACCGTGGCCTCGTGGTAATGGTCTCGCTTTCAAGTCATGGCGGCGTTTGCAATCCGGTTGGCGCGAAAAGTTTTTGCTTCGCTATCTATAAGAGCTTCAACTCTAATTTTCGAAATTCTTCCGAATTTACGGCCCAGCAGGGCAAGTAGATCAAGTACATCAAGTATACGACATACTCGATCTAGTATGGATTTGGTCATATCTGCCCTCTCTGAACATATTACCCATCCGACAATTCAAAGTTTTGCCCAGAATCGCAATTTGGCCAGACGAGCGTTTTTTCGTCGAAGGAAGTGATATTCGTGTTCAGGGGGTCGAAATCTCCCATGAACGAATTTCTCGCTAAAACTTTGAATTGTCGGATGGGTAATATGTTCAGAGAGGGCAGATATGACCAAATCCATACTAGATCGAGTACGTCATATACTTGATCTACTTGCCCTGCTGGGCCGTAAATTCGGAAGAATTTCGAAAATTAGAGTTGAAGCTCTTATAGGTAGCGAAGCAAAAATTTTCGCGGCCAACCGATGCAAAACTCGCATGGCGTTTGACGTTCGAAAGGCGGCAACCCTTACCCACGAGCCACGATCAGGGCACGCCATCTTTGTGATCATCACAACAGGGGGGTCGTATTTGCCCGCGATGGAGGGGGGGTCGTAAACGCATGGCCCATGTTGAAGTGGAGAGAGCGGTGATACACGGTACAAGTAAAAAGAAGCTCAAAAGGGACGATGTAGATGACAATAAATAGAACTAGGCACTATCGAACTATTCCTAGGCCAAAAACTAAAAAAAATATTGCTGAAACTTTTTCCTCCTTCCTCACAAAAAACTTCAAGACACTTCGCCCACCAACCCTCCTCATCTGGTCTAGATAAATCCCAATCCACTAATCCGCAAAATCTAGAAAAAAATCCATTGCAAAAGCTACCTATGAAACCGTAGAAATTGAATCCTGAGCAATTTCCTCACAACAAACCAAACTCAACAAAACAAAATCAAACACAAACAAAAACAAACAATCAAATATAGTTCACAATCAAATGGGTAAGAAACAAACTCACCAGGCCAGCTGGGAACCGGAACTATGGATTACTTTTGAATTTTGGCTGTTCGCGGTCAGCGCGCTCATACAAGCGCATTGGTGCGCGCTATTTTACGGTTTGGAGCCAATTTCAAGCCAAACACGTGAAAAGTACCCCTCATTTGAACACCCATAACTTCGTTGAAAGTGAAGCTATCGGAGAGGGGTAAGTGGGAATGAGTAGAGCTAGGTTGGCTCTTATCACCTGAATTGAGCGATTTCAAAAACGTTCCGGTTCCAGATTTTCCCCGTTGTGATCATCTTTGTGATCGACAATCCCCTCTGTGATCATTTTTGCGAACCGCGAGTCGCTACGCTTTGGACGTCCATGGCAAGCTTCATACACGACCTTTCGTAAAAAAAGAACTGTGCCGGAAGCTTGAAGATTTCTACTTTCCAGCAAGGTTTTAATTTCCTTCCTAGACCTACTATTCAAAAAAATTTCACCGTTGTGATCATTTTGTAATCACCACCCCCCCCACGACACCGAAAAATCAACCCCTCCGAGGCCAGGAAACCTCCAGTTGGCTCGAAGACTTTGGTATGCTTCTGAAACACATGTTTTCGTCAAGCATATCAGGTAATAGGCCATTGGGCGCCAATTGGCATCACATATGCAATGCGCCATGCATGGGGCTTTCACGCAGGTGTTTGAAAGGTGTAACTTCTAGATAGGGCTTCCCAATTGCAAGCAAATGTGCTCCTACGATCAGAAAAGTCCGGGAATGTACTTTCATCTGTTTATTAATCGTCACGTCGTGAGTCCTCTTGTTTGTTTATAAATTCATGGGGCCCTTGTGGGCGGTGATCGTAGCTCCTATCATCGCCCCTTCCTCGTACGTATTGTCAGTATGCTACACCAGCGCCAGAGTGCTGGACGTGCTTGGGACGTACGTAGGTACTGCGACCCCCCCCCCCCGCTCGACAGCAAAATTTTGTAAAAAAAACCAGAAACTTTTTGGGAAAAAATAGACAAAGTGGTAGGAGGTTGGAAAAATCTAGGGAAGAGGTAACGTGGGGGGGGGGTCGTACTTGAAGATGGAATTAGGGGGGGGTCGTATTTTTCAGGAAATGATCACAACGCAATGGCGTGCCCTGGCCCGATGGCACTGCCCGGGCATCGATAAGCAGCGCTTACAGACCACCCAGATCTCGTCTGGGAGGTCCCCGTAGCACTTTTAATCTGCATATTCGTAATCAGCATTCGAGGCTCTATCGATGTACCTAGGTCTCCATTCAAAGTTCCATGGGAATTTCAAACCATTCCCTTGTTAGATGACCAAGCAATGAATCCGCTCACTCTTCATTCCTGGTGATTTAGTAAGTGCGGAATGGTCACGAATTTCACAACCACTGCATTTAAACAAGCAAAAAAAACGCGGTGAAGCAATAACTGAGGCGTAATAATTCTCATCGCAGAAAGCATTCGCTAAAAGCAAGAGCGACTGGTGGGACTGCGTTCATAATTCCGATACTGAATAAAAGAACAGTCGCGAAAGGTGGCTATCGGATGTAAACCGCTACATATAGAAACCTCTTCTTCGAGTCTTTAGTGTCGTAAGGTATACAGTCCTGTTTCAAGCGGATGAAGGGGCGTGTCAGGTGATGGGTTTGGCGCAGCGCCAGTCCGTTTTCCATCAGTTATTGAAGCGAGCAAGCGACAAGACTGCACCATATCGTTCGTATCAGTCGTTTTTCACTGATTGTTTTCTCTTACCCGCTTCAACAACTTGTGGACAACGGCATTGGCGCCGCGCCGAACACGTCCCGCCTGACCCGCCTCTTCATCCGCATCAAATAATACTGTAAACAACCATACGCGGCTCCCTTTTGTACGAATGATTTTGTACGTGACGTCCTCGGAAGGAGAATGTTCCTTTATGCTGACCGCTGAGACCAGACTGTCATAGAAATGGGACACTCATTTGGCTTTTCATAACGTGTTGGTTTATCCATCTGCAAGTGCTCTACAATCTCATCACAGTTAGCAGCAATGATCTCTTTGTAATTCTCAGGCAGCCCTTGGAGACCTTACCCAAAAGTTCGCGTCCCAAACGATTCCGCGAATCCCCATTAGACGTTACTCAGTGTTGAACCCTCTTTCCTCTCATATGATTCTTAGCGTGACACGACAAAATGGAACCGAAAACAGTAAGATCAGACGGGACTTGGCGAGCGTAGCACCGTCTATCCCAGCTAGTGTAGCTGAGTGTGAATGTTATAGGTAACATGGTGTCGAGCGCTTTCTAACAATGTACCCTTTCTCTTATGATCTTTTTTCTGATGTGCTAACTGTGAGCGACCAGGAAGGCCTTCAGTATACATCAGCTGTGATTGCAATCCCTTGCTCTAGCTGGTTCGGTCACCATCCTTTACGAGTTCCACTAGCATCACATCATGTTCTTCTTGAAGCGGATCTCAGATTTCTGGTATAAGGTGCCCTCTCCTCATCTCTTCGTGGAGGTTGGCGGTAGTTAGCAGGTATGCTAATCTTAATCAGTAGTTATTAATATGGGTAGTTTGACTGTAAGAAGACTTGGCAATTAGAACCGTATCATGGTCGGGGACCCATCTACCAAGACATCCTTCCATCCTATGAGCAAGGCAGGGTGGTGAGCGTCGACACAAGATACCCGCTCCGTTTCCCAACTTTGCACCGGAGTTCTCCCAGAAGCAATCCGGTAACTGCAATCCATGAACTTTTCATTTCGACAAGGTTAACCTCGACCCCTCGGATTTTCACCTGCAGACGAATAACCGGATATGGTCCCGCGCTGATGATATTGTTGCTCTGCAGCGCACTGTTATGCAGTTGATACCTTTGCAATCAGTCGGGGCTGCGTCAAGAGGCATCAGCCCTTTCTCTGGTAAAATACAGCAGTAAGCGGGCTTATTCCTGTCCTCTTGACTCCGTCCCGACTGAAAACGGTAGTATCAACTATAAGCAATGGGTTCCTTATTACCAGAAAACCATACGCAAACGGTTTTAGTAGGCTATTTGGGACACGAAACGGACAGGCTTTCGCACTCCCGATATGCCCCTACAGAAAAACTAACAAGGAAACTACTGTGGTAATGAAAGACACGCTACGCGTTCATTCGATGTTCAGACGCCTTCTTTTGACAAGGTCGTCACGTGCATAAGTATAGTGTGTACCACCACCACAGTAAAAAAAATACGTGAGGAAAGGGCGACCTGGTCGCGGCAAAAGCAACGCCCAGCCCACGGCCCAACGCAACACCCAACTTCCTTTCCTAAAGGCTTCCCGAATCAAGGAGTCTCTG